TTTTTTTTCCTCCTACTCTTTCTCAATACAGCCATAGAGGTTCTCAATTTATAGCTACAGACAGTAAACAGGGTTAGGGTTTACTTTCTGTGTGTTCAGAAGACGGCTGTCAAACTCCCCAAAAAATCCAACATGAAATTTTCAGGGGCCTTCTCATTGTCATTTTTCATGACCTGTTGTTACTAGCTTGAAACAGTACCTGTGAAAGTTTTGGGCTGCAGCTAGAGATGTAGCTTCACTTTGACTTGCAGAAATGGAAATTATGTCTTATAGGACAGTGCATACCGTGGGAAGATAAGAGATCTGTGACCTTTCTTATTTCTGGTGTGAAAGGTCGTGCCTTTACAGTCCGAAGTAAATGGTGGGCCGCGAGACACACTTCAATCTGTTGACTGAATGACTAAGAAGCATTGTGTTAGTGGAAAGTAGAAATAGAATGGGAGGAACACAAAACACCTCTTCTAAAACAAGCTCATTTTAATCTGGGTTGGCGTGTGCTGTACCTTGTTTTACCAGCAAACCTGAGCAAAACTGATTCCTCTCTCTTTTAAAATGGAGACTCAAAACATTATCCGTTCAAAATAGATTATTCCATCTGCCAAGTAAAAGCAGCTGTTTATTGCAACGATAATGATGAACTTTATTAGGATATTATTTATTTTTTTGGTTTGCTGTTGGACAAATCACTGCCTGACTTGGCCACAATCAATGCAAAATCTCATACTGTGATTCAGAAAGAATGTATTTTGTTGAAATCAGGGGTTGGTTAGGTCATAACGCTATATGTCAAATTATTTGTTTTACTGTTGCATTTGGGAATGCCACCAAGACTTGCTGTAGTGAAAATGTAAAGCCACAACTAATTTTTCCAAAAACATACTGTGATGAGTGGAACTATACCACTTGGTTAAAATATGACTTTTAGGGAAAGCAGATACACTTTCTGAGTGCTTGAAGGTAAAACTTTCTTACTTCCTCTTTTTCAGACTGAAGCTGTTAATTGATCAGGAAAAGGCCTTCCAAGAACGAAAAGACCAAGAGAACAACAAAAAGGTCACAAGTCTGAAAGAGGAATTGAAAAGGGTCAAATCCTTTGCGTTGATGGTGGTAGATGAACAGCAGCGTCTCAACGAGCAGCTGAATCAACAGACAGCCGAGGTCCAACAGCTGAGCACCACCACTACACAGGTTCGGGAGGAGCTGAGCTTAGCCAACAAGAACCTTCAGGAAGAGGAGCAGAAGGTGTGCCGCCTGGAAGCGGAGCTGTGTGACTGCATCAGTCGACACCATCAGGAGCAGGAAGCCACCATGGCTAAGCTGACAAGTGAGGATGCACAGAATCGGCAGCTGCGTCAGAAGTTGTCCACTCTAAGCAGGCAGCTTGACGAGCTGGAGGATACCAACAAGACGCTGCGCAGAGCCGAGGAGGAGCTGCAGGAGATGAGAGACAAAATCAGCCGAGGTGAATGTGGAAACTCCAGCTTTATGCCCGAGCTGGAAGAGCTACGGAAAAGAGTGCTTGAAATGGAGGGAAAGGATGAAGAACTGATTCGAATGGAGGACCACTGCAGAGAGCTGAACAGGAAACTGGAAAAAGAAGCTAGTCAAAGTTACGGTTTGAAGACTGAAGTTGATAAACTGAATCACAGAATTATGGATTTGGAAAGACTAGAGGATGCATTTAGCGAGAGTAAACAGGAATGCGCCTCACTAAAAAGTAACCTTGAGAGGGAAAAGACTGTGTCAAAGGCTCTCTCTGGGCAACTGGAAGCTTTGAAAGCTCAAGTTAAAGAGCTGGAGCGTGCTGAGGGTCAGCTTGAAAAGACAGAGTTGACATTGAAAGAGGACCTCACCAAGTTAAAGACACTGACAGTCATGTTGGTCGATGAGAGGAAGGCCATGGCAGAGAAGCTGAAGCAGATGGAAAACAAGGTAGAAAACAGCACTGGCAAACTTCAGGTCGAACAGGAGAAGGTTACGTCAATCACAGAAAAGCTCATTGAGGAGAGCAAGAAAGCTTTGAAATCAAAGGCTGAGCTGGAGCAGAAGATGTGCGAGGCCAAGAGGGAACGGGATGACCTCAAGTGCAAACTAAGGGCAGAGGAGGAGAAGAACATTGATTTGGAGTCAAAAATCAATCTGATGAAAAAAAGGTTGCAATCACTTGAGACTATCGAAAGGGACTACCTAAGGAGCAAAGTTAAAGAGGAGCATGTGAAAACACCCATCGCCAACCGCTTCCAACAAGAGGACAACAAAGTCAAAGACTTGACCCAGGAGGTCGAGCGACTCCGACGCAAACTCAAAGACATCAGGGTTGTCGACGGTGACCTGTTAAAAACAGAGGAGCTGGAATCCTTGGAGACGAGATTCACAAACGAGCAGGAAAAAGCCAAGGCTTTGATGAAGGAGCTGGAAATGTCCAGAAAAGAACTTTCCACATACCAGCTGGCTGAGAAGAACGAGTCCAACCAAGAGCATGTTTTGTTCAAACGTCTGAAGGAGGAGGAGGCGAAGTCAAGTCATTTGGCAGAGGAGGTTGTGGCTCTGAAGGAGAAGATCCACGAATACATGGGACAAGAGGAGTCCATATGCCGCATGAAGACCGACCACACCTCTCTGCGAAGGAAGCTCACCCAACAGGAAGTCAGAAACAAGGAACTGGCCAGGGAGATGGAGACGCTCACGCGGGAGCTTGAACGATATCGAAGATTTAGCAAAAGTTTGCGCCCTGGCATGAATGGAAGGCGCTTTTCGGATTTGCACCTTGCCACCAAAGAGGTCCAGACTGAGCCTCATGACCTCTTGACGGCGGTCCCATTAGAGCACGTCATGTTTAATGGGAATCTGTGTGATGAGAGCATGCCTGGGGACAATGAGATTTACAACAAATGTGGCCCCTCCCTCATAAATAACATCAATAACCTCAATAACAACAACCTGAGAAGAGTCCCCGGTGCTAAATCCAACGAGGGTCCTAACCAGCTGAATGGCAAACTGCAACAACGGCCGAATAGTACCCACGTACAGGCTGGAGATGTGGTACTGACCCACAATCCTGGCCAGCCGCTTCAGATTAAAGTGACCCCTGAGCACAGACACAACATGGCGACACTTGAGATCACCAGCCCTACCGCAGAGAACACGCCGTCCTTCACCAGCACTGCCATCATACCCACAAGCGGAGGCCCGCCCAAACAGAGAATCACCATCATCCAGAACACTGCCATTTCCCCACCTGCGAAATGCAGACGTTCTCCAATTTCAGACAAGCCTTGCTCACCAGATAGGGTGCTATCTCCTCTCACTATGTCACCATATTCAAGAGCTTTGACCCCTGACTCTTGCAACTCACTGACCCCTGACAGAGCCATGTCCCCAATCCAAATTGTTTCCGTCACAACGGGCACCCCTGACCGTGATGTCTCAGCTGAGTCGGTGGAGATTGCCGGAGGGCACGCCATCTTCCGCGTGAGTCCAGAGCGCCAGAATGGCTGGCAGGTGCAGCGGTCCAACAGCTCTGGGCCAAACATCATCACCACAGAGGACAACAAAATCCACATTCACTTAGGGGGTCCCTTCATTCAGAGTGTCAGCTCACCAGCTCTGCAGGAGCAGAGAATCCCTAACGGCAGCATTGCAACACCCAAAAGCAAGAGCAAAGTCACTAGTAGCATCATGATTAAGCCTTCCGCCACCCAAACCCAACGGCCATCACAGATTACAGTAAGTAATGTTTACGACTGACCCTTACGCCCCCCCTTTTACACCCTCAACCTCCAACCCTTCACCCAAGACATTCGATACAAACCCTGACCCTGAACCATTTACATGTGTCTTCCCTGACTCAGAGGTAGTTAGCTCAGAACTGGAGCTTTGATTGTGGTTGCTTTGCTGTGCTCTGTCCCGTTTGTGTTGCCTCGGTTGGACTAATCAGAGTGCACGTACTGTGTTGTAATTTACACCGATGTACACTATGTGTCCTTTCATACGTTTGAGTTTGTTCCTGAGAATTAAAGTTATTGTAGTTTGTCATCCATGCTCACCCGCCTCATTTATTCATTGTATGCAGCATGTTTTGGTCGTGTGTAATAAAAAAAAAAAAAAAAAGTTGTTCTTTAAGTTGACTTCTGCAGCATGTGCAGTTAAGTTTTTCCCCCCATAGCTGGGATATGCAAAGGCACTCACATTTTCATCAATACCTAATTAAATTCATTATTATAACTTTTGTACTCACATGTTTAAGGTCACAGAATATTCAAACTCATAAAACTGGACTATCAAAGCCAATTCAAGCTTTTTGGACTCTGCCTTTGTACACCACCACCATGGATTTGAAATCAAACAAACTATATTTTAGTGAAGCGTAGACTTTAATTTGAGATGTTTCTCAAAGTGCTGAATTTTCAATCATTTTACTCAGCCACTTTCAATTAGGCATCTCACAACTGTCTAGACATTTGATATAGCTGTCAGTCAAATTAATTTGTAAGTCGTTTAAGAATGCTTTGCAGTCGACAAGTGCTTGACATTTTGAGCCCGTAGGTATCAAAAAACTTCTGAGTTTCCTCCTTGGAGCTCTTTGACAGGACTTTACTGCAGTGACCTTCAGTTGTTGCCAGTTTGTAAGTCTGACCGCTTCTGATTTTCAGTACAAAACATTGGCTTGAGAGCAGACCACTGGGTTGGTGGCCATTGAAGGATCGTCAAATGATTAGTCTTTAAAAGTCCAAGTTCATTTGTCCATGTCTGCTTCCAGAAGACTGGCATTGGAGTTCAAATTCAAATTGGAATTCAAATCTGGCTTTCCTGTTCGTGAATGTTATCAGTGGCATGTACCTTCCTGATTTACTGTACTAAGGAAAGCATTCTCAGATCATCTGCTTTAGTTGTTTTGTTATTTACTGCAGGAAGGAACTCAAGACGAATGAATGAAATATTCTTCAATGGCCACCCTGACCTGATCTCAACTCAATAGCACAACATCTCCAGGGAGGAGCCTTAGAATTTTGTGAAGTTCATGCGCTCCATACCCTAGGCAGACATTAACTGCAATTTATATTCATCAAAGTATGAGAAATTAGAATCATATTAACGTTGATTTCATTTGTCCATTGTCTTAATACATTTTACCCCCAGAGAGTCCACACATGAATTCAATCCATTGTGGTGGTATATGGATTCTGTTCCTAACTGTATGCTCACTTTGGAAAAATTGTTGCTCCATCTTTTGTACAGGACGCAACATCGACAAAGATGAGTAACGGGTAATGGGTTGTGCTTGAATTCAAACTATACTGAATGCCAGATAAAGGATGCCAAGGGACGGGATGGATTTTGGAAGATTCATTCATCTACATGACATTAGTGCATTCATGTAGCAATTGGTAGGGTGAATACTGAAGTAAAAACAACTTCCTTAGCAGAGGAATGATGACAATTTTCCTATGTTATATGAAATTGACATCAAGTATTTGGCATAAGTTTCGAAAAAATGCAAAACAATAAGGCAGTTAAGTACAGCAGACATAATGGGAAGTGCGACTCATCAACCCAGACCTGTGCGACAGTAAGGCCATGATTAAATTAGCCATTAAATTGAACAAATGCAACAGTAAGCCTCACAGCTGTAGAAATTGTATCCTTCCAAGGTCCAGGCAGGAAGATATGATGCATGCTGAACAAGATGCTGTTCATTAGTGCGAGGCCTGAGAAAACTGAGCAGCTGGGTCTGCTGCCTGTGATTCACTTTGGATTGAATACACAAACTTTTCTCAACAGCTATGTTGAAACTTCCTGAATTTCCAGAACAGATGACAGTAACCGTGTTGACCAGCAGGCACAATAAAGTATGATAAGGCCGGTCTAGGGGCTTTCTCCAAACAAACCACATCACATGCAAGTGGGCATGCAGACGCCGCGAATGTGGCCGCTTTCCTGCACCAGCGGCAAAACAAAACAAGGCTTCTGTTTGGTTGCTACGGGAACAGCAAGAGGAAGCGGAGCGCCTGCTGCAGCAATGATATGCCTAAGAAGAAAATAGAATCCCACAAATCAAGTATTGACACATATCCTGGTCACTTAGAGGCACTGAATCTTGCAATCCACTTTACTGAGAGGTCGCAGACCCTGTGTGAACATAAACTAGGGTGAGTCCCACTTTGACTCAGCTGTACATATACTGTAGGTAGAGCAGTAAAAGTCCCCATCAAGAAACAAAATACGCCAAGTATTGTTATGCTTGCCATTGCACTATGAACTTTTAAATAAAGTAGTTTAACATAAACATTATATTAAACTACTGAGGACAACGAATAAGATTCAACAAATGAAACTAGTCATCGTATGTATCACTATGTGCATGAAGTCATCAGCCTGTGTAGGCAACATTTCAGGAGTGTGTGTGTGTGTGTGTGTGTGTGTGTGTGTGTGTGTGTGTGTGTGTGTGTGTGTGTTTTGAAGGGTCATGAACTTTGGTTCAAAGTCCAAACAATTCAGTAAAACATATTGTTGTTCTTTCCAGCAGAGTGACTGCACACAAAACTGAAAAAGAGGTGAAAAGGTTTTGAACCAAAGTCATTGCTATTATTTTTTTAAATCAACATCCTTCTATTTCAGCCTCTAAAACAGTGGTTCTAAACCTCGTTAGAGGTACCGAACCCAACCAGTTTATATGCACATTCACCGAAACCTTCATTAGTGAAAAGTAAAAATATAATTTGTTTTTTACAAATTCAAGACATAAAAAACACATTTATTAAAAACAGAAAAAACTAGACCTAAGACCTAAGTATAATTTTTTTTAATTGTGCACAAAATGAACCAGCCAGTGATGGCCAAGTGGGCGTGTCATAACTAATTGACATGTTGAGTCGTGTGTGTCTTAACCTCCATGGCAGAGGCTCCGTCGAACCCCTGAGACCGATTCACCGAACCCATAGGGTTTGATCGATCGAACCCAGGTTACGAACCACTGCTCTAAAATGTGACTCTGGTTGACATAGTCCTCATTTTCGTTGTGCTTTCATCAAACTGAAGCTCATGAACATCAGCTGGCTTAGGATCAACATTTTTTGCCCATTTTCTGTCCAGTCAAACTTCAACTAGTCATTGCCGAACTACATAACGGCAACGTCACTGGTGGAGTGTGTCCTGGGGAAAGTCTTTTGTGAACCTTATTAAATGTGTTTGGCTCCACCTAAAGGTCACTTCTGGTTTTCAACCAATCCAACTGCAACGTTTCTTGAGCTGCTTGTGGTACCCCAACCTCAAATCACTTTGTCTCCTCTCTGTATTCCGCCAGATACCTCAAGAATCATTCCGTCGCGCTGGGCCGACCCGGATCCCAAAACCAAAGGGCTCCACGTCTGTAAAAGGGATGAGCGGCAATGGCGCGCTGCAGAATAGTAGCCAGTCACTGCGCACTCCTCTAAGCAGTGGCAAAGACCAGGCTGTGCACACGTCTGCAGCACACAGAACCAATACCAACAACAACCCGAACCTTGCCAACCGCAAACTTTAGTATAATGTCATGAATAAATTCGAGGTGAATGACAACGTGAGCTCCAGAAGGTCACTTTGCATTCACCGACAACTATATAGTAGCTGCTTTAGTTTAGTTCTCATCATGTCAGCATCACTGCAACCCAGGTGAAGTGTCATAGGAAGGCGACTTGATAAAGCTGTATGTTGTGTATTTGTATTTATTTTTTAGCAGTTTGGAAAAAAAAGACATGAAAAAAACAAGACTGGAAACTATTTTTTTTTTAATGATAAATGGCCATAATGTACTGTATGTGAAAAACTGATGATGAAATGCAGCTGCATCATACTACCTAGCATAGTTTTTTTTCCCGCCTTTTGGTTCAATAAAGACCTTTTATATTGGAACATACATGTCTCAAATTAATTTTGATCATACATTTTGCATCAGGATTGGCATATAATAAAGTACAGTGGCTTTAACATGAGAACTCCACATTTTTCACATTTTATGTTACAGTCTACTTCTGCATCGAATACATTTGTCACAGGCTATGAATACTTAAATATAAGACAATTTATTATTTTTTTAAATTCTTAATAAATTTGAAAAACAAGGAAAAACCTTTGCTGTCATTAAGAATTGTGTAGAATTTTGAGGCGATCATCTGTTACTTAACAAAATGTGGAAACACTATCGTTTTTCTAAAGCTTGAACAGCCTAGATGCACTTTAACATTATGTATTTAAAAAGTAGTCATGATCATCCTAAAGGTTTTTGGGGGGGATTCCCTGACACAAGTGCAACTTATTGTCCAAACCTCCTGCTGTATTCGATCAGCATTGTCTTCTAATCACGTGGATGTCAGTGTTGTTTGCATGGCACTGCTCAGCACGCACAAGAAGTGATCCATCTCCTGGCCTCGCTCTGTGGCACACACCCACGAGCGAGAGGAACCATCCAAGATGAAGGCGTGCTTCACGTCTATGGAAATATAAAGCAGCTGAGCAAAGGAGAGCAATGTGAAAATTGTGTCCGTGTCTGACAACTTACAACGCGAATGTACGATCTTCCTCACAGTCAGAGTGGCGAGCGCCAAAGAGGCGAAGAACGTGTGTGTGCTCCTGTGCACCACCGTGAAAGGTGTGTGTTTCTTTTGCCTCCGTGTCAACATCAAAACATCAGTGAACAGGAAGAGGCTGACATCTGCTACGTGCTCGTAGGTCCTAATCAAACATGAGCCACACATAATTTAAAAACATGTGACCGTAACATCTGCAGCAGCAGCACTGATATTTGAGACACAAATTGCAGTCCTCCATGAGTGCATACAGATTTAGAAAGTACAATATGTAGTCCAATCGAGGCAAGCCACATGGGCTGTGTCAATTGTTAATCATAGTTGCATTTGCCATGGGGCATTAAAAAAAATAACACTGGCAGTGGGCCACACAAACGGCCACGACACTCTTGTCCTACATCATTTGACATTATTCATGTTCTCAAAAAGTGAATTAATATTATCTGAGGAGCAATGCAAATTAATTGGAACTTTCTAGTAATTTGACACCTGAGAGACTCTGGGATGTGATCATTGGGGCTGTGGAGTAAATCAGCATCTTGACGGATGATCAACTGCCGGTTTCCCTCATTGAGACTCTGCACGCAGACATACACAAACACGTTAAAGTGGTTGTGTGTATAACTTTCAACAAGGGATACATATAGAGTTCTACCGGACAGCCTTGGATCATCTGCTGTGTTTCCTCCAACAGCCAGTCTCTTTCACAGTTGTGTTTGAGCTGAAACGAGACAAAACATATTGCTTTCATTGTTTTTAGTTGATGACAACAGTGTGTGAGCCATTCTACCTTTTGGATGAACTGTGTGTATCGCTGCAACGTGCTGAGGGCGGAGGAGACTTGAGTGTGATCAGGGTGACTGACATGTGTGTGCAAAGCTAGAGCTTGCAGCAGGGTTGTGTACTCTTGGATTCGCCACACTGGACACAGCAGCAGCTCCTGTAAACTTTCGGAGCAGGCGCACACATGGATACCAACCCACGTCCGCACGCACAGGAATGTGTGTCAACATCCCAGTTTGACAGAGCACAAGCGCACGCAAGGTTACCTCAGCATGTGGGTTGCCAGAGTTCGGTCAGTTCTCTTCAGGAAAGCTCGAAATGCCGGCTTCGTATCTCTGCACTGACACACACGTATAGGACTTTGGCAATGATAACCATAGACAAACAATACTGACACATATCCATTTGCATTTGCATCAAAAACGCTGCCTTGGCAAAGATAATGAAGCTCTGCTTTGGTTGCTTCAGTCAAAGGGGCATTCATTTTACAAACAGTTGATTCATTACATTAGCAGCGGTATCGAAGAGCCAGCATCACACAGAGATTTCACGGACCGCATTGAGTGTATGAAAGAGGCAACATAGAAGTTAATATGATAGTTCAGCGTCGAATGGCATTATCAAGGTCTTGTATTAAATCTCTTGGATCGCTCAAGTGGTTGTTACCTTGTCAATGGCACTGAGAGCAGTTGTGTAGTTGTTGAGGTAGTTTGTGTACACTCTGAGGTGTGTGCATAGTTTCAGGCACACATCGCCAACACACTGCTCTGCACCCCACTGCTGCAGTCTAGCATCTAAAGCTGCCTTGAACTCCCTGTGATCAGCAAGCAGGAGGAAAATGAGACAAAAACTAAACAAGAAAGCTATGTGTATGGGTTGTGCGTACCTGTTGAGGTCCAGTATTTTTGCAACGGGGTTCAGGATGACAAGCATGTCTGCTAAACTGAGAATGGCTCTGTTGGAGTTGAGGGCTGCTGTGAGAGGCTCTTGGTATGACTTTAGCAAAGAGGAGGTCAGAGGAAAACCAACCAATGAAGTTTAGCGTATAACAACAAATTCAGCCTCGCACAGAATGGTGTGGAATGCTTCTGATCCCGTGTAGCAATCGCGGTATCATGTACGCAAAGTCCATGTGACATCAATAGCAGCACAACACAACGTAACCACCAAGCAATTCAACAAAAACATGGAACAGGATGCATAAACAAGAGACTCGTAAAGTGTTCACAATCACAGAGTTTGGAAGAGGACATACCCTCACAATAGCGCTGAGTCTGCTAATGTACAGAACCTCACTGAGTTGCAACTCTCTGGCGACGACACCTCTCCAGTCCAGCTGTGTCTGAAAGAAGAGACAAGCAAAGATGAGGACTTGGCTGTTCTCTGGCACGGGGAGAGAACATACACAGCATATCACACCTGAGGAAGCCCTGACATCAGAGGGACATTGGAAAGTAGGTTTTCTTCTCTCGTCTCCTTCTCATCACTCCATTTTGTCAGGAAGGCAGCAAGAAACTCGAATGGTCTCGTCTGAAGATGCATGACTAGTCAATGAGTCGATTATACTACCCCGCAATGACGTCTACGGCTTGATGTCTACTTGTCGCTAATGAGTTTTCACAAAAAAGAAAAGCTGGAGAAGGATTTTTCGGACCGTGCTGTCAAACTGCATTAAAATCCGCCCCCCTGCTGACCTTGTGATCATTGAACAGAACAGCAACTAGTACTATTTACCTCTGCTTGTTTGCTGAGAACAGTGAGTCCCTCAGTGAGCGCCAGACTTAGGTCTTCGGACAAACACAGATCCTCAAGACAGACTCTCTCCCACAGAGAATGACCTGATGAGTCACCAGAGTTTACAAAAGGCCAAGTTCCCACAAGCTTAGAAGAAGTGAGACACCCACCTAAAGCTCTGCCCCGGGCTTGTAGGCCAACTTGCTGAAGCCGGAACTCCAGACAGTTTTTCATCTCCACCAGAGCTTCCTCAATCCACTGGGCCTGTCTGCACCAGCCCATCAGGACTGGCTCACAAATGTAATGAAGTGCCGGGCCTCCTGGTTGTGGGTCGGAGAGCCCGATGGCACTGATACTTCCATCAGACCAATCGCTAAGGACTAAAGATGGGTAACAAAACAACAGGGTTTTGTTCATTTTGAATTGAATTGTCTTAATTATATGATAAGACTTTGGCTACAGGACTCACTATTTTGAAAACTTCCAGTGGCGAGACCCATCGGTGCCCAAACATTCAGCCCAGTAAGAGCGGCCAGCTTCTGCATGAGCGCCACACCTGAGGCTGAGAGAGAAGAACAGTTGAGCCGCAGAGCTGCTTCTGAGTCACAGTGAGAAATGGCGATCACCCACTCGATGCCGCACACGGAGAGAAAATGTCGATCCCACCTCCTTGCTCGGCAGGGGCCACCAGGATGGACAATTTTTCCCAGAAATCTCGATGGGCCGGGATAAGTATGGTTCTGTCTGATAAGCAGATATCTGCAGGAACAAAATATGTTGAGGGGGGGAAACAAAGAAATAAGAAATAGGAAAAAGTATTCATTCTCACTGTGGAAGAGGTGAATTTCTTCGGTTCCCCCTGGCGCTAACAGGCCAAGCCTTTTAAAAGTGCGCCCAGAAACAGCCTCCTCCACCTGGGACAACAGTGCCAAGAGAGTCCCTCGGTGGTCATAGAGGACGACAATCACATCCGCCTTGGCGCCGCTCAGCACCAGCTACGACACACAGGAAGAAAATGACGTTGATTGCTACCATCATGTTCCAATTATGTCTGATTGAAGTTGGTTGTTCACCTCATAAGCAGGAATTTTATTGGAGACCAACAGCAAGCAGTTTGCAGGATGCCTGTAGATGTTGCAGCGTTGTCGTGGTGCAGGTCTGAAGACGTATTTGGACAGTGGCCCACTAGCTCTGCTTGGAAAATTTGAAACAGCAGCTTCGCTGAATAACAGTTAACAATAATGAGGAATGATCAACTTGAACTTTGTGCACTGGGGCACAGTCATGTTGGAACAGGAAAGTGGTTTGCTCACTTCACCAGTGGCCATAATAAGCAGTACTGAAAATTGATGACAGGATGAATTAAAAAATAATAATAATATTCCCAATAATTAAACGACACGAACACCCTAAACTGGTTGCCAGTCATCCGTGCTCACACTCACACCTCGGGAAAATTTAGAGTGTTCTATTAACCTGCCACGCATGTTTTGTTTTGTAGGGCGGCCCAGTGGTTAGCACGTCGGCCTCACAGAGGTCGTGGGTTCGATCCCGACTCCAGCCTTCCTGTGTGGAGTTTGCATGTTCTCCCCGGGCCTGCGTGGGTTTTCTCCAGGTCCCCCGGTTTCCTCCCACATTCCAAAAACATGCACGGCAGGCTGATTGAACACTTCAAATTGCCCCTCGGTGTGAGTGTGAGCGCGGATGGTTGTTCGTCTCTGTGTGCCCTGCAATTGGCTGGCAACTGGTTCAGGGTGTCCCCCCTCTACTAACCGAAGATAGCTGGGATAGGCTCCAGCATCCCCCAACCCCCCTCCCGTGACCCTTGTGAGAAGAAAGCGGATCGGAAAATGGATGGCTGGATGGGATGTTTTTGGAATTTGGGAGGAAACGAGAGTACCCAGAGAAAACCCACACAGGCAGGAGGAAAACATACAAACTCCACACAGGAAGGCCGAAGCCGGAATCGAACCCTGAACCTCTGCACTGTGAGGCCGACGTGCTAACTAGTCGATCACTGTGTTGATGAGTCTAATCAACAAAACAAAATTTTAAAATGCTATTGTCTTCACTGAGAACAGATCTGGACAGTTATTTATTTATTTATTTTTTTAAAGAAGGTGTACACATTTGATTTATATTGATCATTGTACATTAGGTTTCCATCGTGTCGTTAGATGCATTTCTGACCTGCTGGAGCTGTGCGCTACGTTTTCCTCCAAGCTCAGGCCGCTGCTTGTGCTCAGACTCAAGTCAGGAGGTCCAGAGGTCTTGAATGTGGTCCCAAGGGTGGTTGCTCTGCCTCCAGATTCACCCAACCTTGTGCTGGTGCTCCAGGCTTTTCTGGTTCTCAGTGCTATTCCTGCAGGAACAAAAAAACATGCTACATTTGCTACTTTTTTGTTTTTACTTCACTCTTCACTGCTTTCACTCACTCTTCTCCTCGTGAATCTTTGTTCTGATCATCTGCCTGATTATTCTTTCTTTCAGTCTCTCCTCCTCTTCTTCTTCTTCTTGCTCCCAATCATAAGGTTGGCTGAGTGTCCAGAAGTGTTGTGCTGCTTCATGAGGAGTCAGCCTGTCCAGTGTGCTGATGCAGGAGATGAAGTGCTTCTTCCAAGCGCCAAACTCCTTTTCTCCAGGCGTGTAGGGAAGAAACCAACCTTGTCGTATGCAGCGCCCCGCCCAGAGACAATCCTGAGTTTTATTTGTACCGTGATGATTAAACTCACAGAACAAATTAAATACAGTGCCATGAAAAAGTATTTGCCGCCTTCCTGATTTCTGTTTTTGTTTGCATATTTATCACACACAAAGGTTTCAATTCATCAAACCAATTTGTATATCACACATAGAGACTAACCAAGGAAACATACAATTAAATCTCTAAATGCCAATTCAATTCATTAAGGCACAAAAAAATTCAAACCTACCTGTCAGGAAGGGGGCAAACACTATTTCACAGCACTGTACAACTGTTGGCCTTACAACCCTTCCCACCTGTTCCGACAGAACTCTCCAGTGCCAGCTGACTTGGGCGGCGGAGCACAGGTCCAAGGGGGACAGGAAGGACATGATGTAAAGTGACAGGAAGCGGGGCAACACCGCTGTGAAATCCGCTTGAGTTGTTGGAAGTGTTTCAGTCAGCAGATCTCTACAGTACCTGCTGAGATGATTGACATACTGTACTTCAGTGGACGGTGTTGTGACATTCCCAATTTTTAGAAGGGGGAATAAAAGGCCTTCACCTGAGCTGAGCCTTGGTACATCGTGTGAGCACAGAATGCAGCATGTGTTTCCTCTGTCGATCAGTCCATAGATCAAACCAGTGCAGCACTAGTTTGATCCTCTCTTCAAATAACTGTTAGGGAATAAACATCAGCACTGGTCCAACAATAGCGCATCTCATGAGGTTAAAGTACCAACCAGCTGATTGAGAAAAACAAATCTGCCTTTAAAACTCATTCTGTACCAGCCATTAGGATCAGATCCTAAGTCTTGAATAAAAATGTGAATACAGTAAGTGGGATTGAATGTGTGGAGTCTGAAAAGACATTTATAAAATATGTACAGTATTTCGGAGTGAATGACTTAAAAAGACCATGATGTTATTATTATTAATGACCATTTCAGTATTGGAGGATGATAGAGGCACCAAGGTTTCTGAATTTTATCATTTTTTTCTCAAGTTAAGGTGATAAAATTTCGTGTAATTGGGATGAATCCAACTGAAACATAAAGGTTTATGTTCATTAGGTATTTTATTTGTCATATGTTATAACGTAATGAAAATAAGATGCAGTTTACTGTTGAATAAATTCTTTACAATTAAACAGTTAAATGCACTCAAATACTAATTTATTCTTTTGTATACTCGAAAATTACAAGGACAGGATTGTTTGCTGTGTTAGGTTGCTATGTTGCCTGTAATATCAGAACAGACTAATGCAAATGTCTATATTGTCTTTTTCTGATAAAATGAACAGGGTCGCGTTGGTTTGAGTGACACACATCGACGACTGAAAGAAAATGAGGATTTACCAATCTTATTTGAAACTTAGTTTTATATGACAAAACAAGTAACCAACCGTTGATGGTTGAACTGGACGACTCAAATTCCAAGATTGGTTTACTCCCTTCTCTTGAAAACATAAAACTGAATACAGTACATCAGAATGTTGGCGCATTTTAGATTGGCCAATCAACAATTTCTATACATTTAATCACAATCTGTATCCGTATAATCTAACTATAATGCTTTTTCAGTTCGTGTTGCTCTGAATCTGACCTGCCTGTTCTCTGCGCGGTTGTTCAGCGGAGTCCAGCAGCTGAACCGAGCGTTTGAGTGAAGCCTTTTCTTTTCCATGGATTTTGTTTTTAAAGCCACGTGGAATCCTGACGAAGCACTCGATTACAAGTATGGTCTACAAATACAAGTCATCTGTGACTCCGGGTCGCCGTGGATACGCATCAACACATTCCTTCACACAAAACACTGCACTTGCTGCGACCAACATCATCACATTATTGGTACGAAAAGCCCGTCAGCTTGTTCTGTGGATTTGTTTCACCCACTACGATATATTAGCTTTTTAAAGAACATTGCAAACTCGTTGTGGGTGTGTGAGCAATTTTCTCATTCGTTCAATCCTATATGGTGTAGTTCCGCGTTACATGCACAAGATAGCGCTGGGTGAACGTCTGATGAAATGCAAATTTAAACACAGTACAGCGTAGTTTCCCCAACCTAAATTGAACAACGGCGTGTATCTTATATTTGAAAAAATGTCATTCACGCCTTCAAACAGGAATGTTACAAAAAGTGGATACATGACATGTGCCACCTTGTGGAACAGCATTTAACACTTCTGCCTCTTACGTCGCTAGCATGTGAACAGATGAACAAAAGAGTGGTAAATACGATTAACTAAAACAGGATAATTCTAAAAGACAAACCTGATGGTCTTTCTTGGAACATTGACTGTCAATCAATGCACTGAACGGTAACTTCCACGAAGTGAAGCTGGTTGACTCTTCTTTCAAAGAAAAAGCCTTACTGAAACGCTGCAGAATACTTGATGACATTTGTCATTCATGTATTTTATTAAAAACATCAGCATACATGTTTTTCACAGTTCAAGCTTTAAAGATAATACTACATCTCCAACATTGGCTGACTGACAGTCAAAATTATTGAATGATTTACAATTCGCATGTGGAGAAGTAGACAATTCATTTCAACCAATAAAGCTTTAATTACCGTATAAGAAATTAAGGCGTGGTAGTGACATCAACATTTGGGTTATTACCGTATAAGAAATTAAGGAAATTAAGGCGTGGTAGTGACATCAACATTTGGGTTACTGGACTGCTTGCAGCCAAATAGGAAGCAAATATGTGGACACAAACTATCGAATCTTGATGCTGAAAATGGTTAAACATTCTTTTTTTCCACATTGTAACTACAATTTGATAAATCTGTTTGATTATACACTGATGGGTCTGATGATATAAAGTGCAACAGAGTGCCATACAATTATTTGCAGCCAAATGATCTGTTAAGTTAATTCAAATCACTTTGGTTAGAACGTTGCACTTCCTCTTAAAAGACATGGTCTAGATCTAGAACAAGAAATAGATGCTGGTGACCAGTTAGATAAAATGATAAATAGTGCCTAAACTACGAGGATCTTGATGTTTAGTAATATTAGATTGGCAACGCCTTCATTAGGCGCATCGAATTTTGTTTTTGCCTTTCATGGGCAACAAGCAGGTTTGCACGTCTGGAAGAGAGAGGCATTCACATGCTGGCAGACCTCGGAATCTCCTGGCTGTCGGTCAGATTCAGTTTCTGGCTGGAAGTGACAAGTTCAGGGAGAACACAAACACAAATTGTATGTATTCCTCTAACGCAACAATAGGCATTATTTATATCTCACATGAGGTCTTGCAGATGCCAATAAGGATACATAGATGAACTCAACTCCTCCAGCTGAAAAGGAAAATTATAATTAGCTTTTCATTTTTTAGAATCAGAAAAGCATAGAGCCATGTATCTGTTGGTTTTCAATGAGGGTTGAGTTTGGGGGGATGAGATGGTCATGGGGTGAGCTTGAGTCTGTATCTGATGAGCCATTCTCAAAACGAGAGAATGCTTCTGTCATAGAAATTGAATTTATTTTAAGGCTTTTAACACCTCTTAACCAGGGGTGCCAATAATTATAGAGGGCACTGTATATTTACTACTGAGGAAAAGGGGCCTTCAAACAATAATGTAGGTGGTGCTCCAAGAATTTTTGTACAGAACTGTCAAATGTCCAAGGTCTTACATTCAGAAGCAACTTGTCCATGTTGGTGTCCCGGGCTGTTTTTCTCTGGTCGTCTTGCATTTCGTCCTCCTCACCATACAGGTCAAAGTGTAAGCGGGCCAACTTTTCCTGCATCTCCCGCACATGCTCCATCTGCCCAATGGAGCACTCATTGCCTGGGACAGACAAAAGAAAACTTTGTAAACTCTGGTGTATAAGTTCCTGGTGGGAAGAAAATACTTCAGGCTGAATTCGAACTGCAGGTGGTCACAATTCCAATTTCGTGCCGACACCTTACTTTATGTTCTTTTTTTTGTCTTTTGACCTGACCATGACACACACAGACTTCCAAAATGCAGCTGGAAACTCTTGAACAAGTTAATTGAATTTGCGGCCTGAGAAAGATTTTGTCAAGCCCCATATCGGTAACAGGGCAATACATCAGATTTGGAAACACTGACCTGGAGTAGAAACCTGGCTGAAGACCTTCAATTCCAATATGACAATGTGCATTTTTTAATTTGCAGGTGGTCACAATTCCAATTTCGTGCCGACACCTTACTTTATGTTCTTTTTTTTGTCTTTTGACCTGACCATGACACACAGACTTCCAAAATGCAGCTGGAAACTCTTGAACAAGTTAATTGAATTTGCGGCCTGAGAAAGATTTTGTCAAGCCCCATATCGGTAACAGGGCAATACATCAGATTTGGAAACACTGACCTGGAGTAGAAACCTGGCTGAAGACCTTCAATTCCAATATGACAATGTGCATTTTTTAATTTGCTTGTCAGATTTTATTTTTTCTTTACTCTGCTATGTTTGACTTGTTCCATTTGAGAGGGGAAAAATAAACAACAACAAAAACACAATTGTGTCACTTGAGTCATCCTTAAATCAGCTAACCAAAAGCTTGCAGTTTCCCTGAGTGGAAGTCATTGAGAAGGCTGAGAAGTCCATTCTCCATCTCCTGCACGTCAGAGACATCCGTCAAGAACGAGTGCTGAATGATGGGTGCCGCCTGGTTCTGATTTGTGCTGGGACGAACACTGGGACCCATTTGATACTTGGTTTTGTCACGAACTCCCCTGGAAAAAAATAACACCAATTAAAGAAGGCATTTCAAGCATACAGCTTCGGGCAAAAACTGGCTACTGTGGCGACACTGCAGGTAAGCATTGTGTTCAGCAGTGTACAATTTAATGATTCGGCATACGATTGTATGATTTTGGAGTAAAAAAAGGCGAAAAATAATACAGTATCGTATTATTGCATTACAAATATCTGTGACTTTATGTTTGGTGCCTCTATGTACAAGCCTTTTAATCGTATTGCACACAACCCATTTGACACCTTGAACTTAAAGTATTACATGGTGACTCAAGTGGTGAGCACATGTTGCTGCTACCTTTTATTCTTGCTCTTCTGGCTGGAATGGGGGCCCGTGCCGTGGCTGCAGCCGACATGTTTCCCCCCGATGGAAGCACTGACTTTCCGAGCAGAACCGCTGGTGGGAGTCGGCGTTGCCACCGTCACCGTGGCCGCCGCCGCTGGGGTAGTGGGGGTTCTGGGGCTCTTTCTCTTTAGCTTTCGTTCCTCCATAACGGCAGGCAATGGTGGTGACCGGTTAGCAGGGTCGGGCGCACGTCATGACAAGCCAGCACTCAATACAACAGCCGTATTAACCAGAACCAGAACACACATAATCGCAAGGGGAATGTAGAACGTCCGGTGTTAGATGTGAAATTTAAAAGCATATGACACGCTGAAAAACGCATGTAAACAAGATTGTCGGTCAACGTCCACACGCTAGCCGCATGTCTTACCGAGTGAACCAATAGGGGCAACTAATAAAACAAATACCAACACAAAGAAACCAGGAAATAGGCGCTTGTTTCTCGTCAAAACCAATACTCAACAGTTGCTGTTGTTTTTTTCTTCTTCTTCTTTTTCTTCTTCTTCTTCTTCTTCCTCCTCCTCCTCCTCCTCCTCTTCTTCTTCCTCTTCTTCGTCTTCTTTTTCTTCTTCTTCTTCTTCTTTCGGATTTTGACAGCTGTTGGAAAATAACGTTGAAGAGCATTACCGCCACTATTGGTGTAGAGTGCGAATTAAGGATAGAAATACATTAAATACTGTATATACCTCCTCCTAAAGACCAAATTTGTTGGCTTTAAAATCCGACACAACATTTAAAAACATTGGCTCTTTCAAAGCATTTCTATGACATCAAATCATGTTTCTCTTTTTTTAAAAGCTCAGTTATGTTTCGTCTTCCGAGAGCACATACACTAACTAGCATGTGGTCTGGGAAGTATTGCTAAATGTTCTGTGATTTATTCTTATCAACAACAATGTCATTTTCATGAATTGATGTTTCTTTTTCTTTCTTTATAAGGGTGCTATTCACTCCGTGTATGCAAATTTAATCTTGCATTGGTTCTTGTTTCCTGTCTCTTGCTGTCCATTTCTTCATCTCTCCATACGTTACTCCCTATTTTAAAGAACAAAGCTTATTTCCAAACCCCAGGAACCAACATAAAAGAGTCAATTCAATCCAGAACTTCATTTTGAAAATGTCAAATTTGACCAAGAATACACAGAATTACATCGATAACAGAATTACAAGTCCAAAACCTCATTATAAATTGAAAACCAGAGGCCACTTGAAAGTAGAACGTGGCAGGTTGGGAAAAATCTGCAATCCATCAGAATCAACATCAAAAGAGAAGAATACTTAGATCAAGAGTTAAAGCAGGTTGACTTGAGTCCACTTAATATGTTGCACCCATTCTGTACTTTAGTTTTCATTTGCTAAGGGATTTCTTTTGTCTGTGAATGTTGACGAAATTAGTGTGCTGTTTAGGGCGAGTTTTTAGTCTTTTAGAAAACTTTTGTTCCCCATCTGTTTACAGTTTTTGCTGCTTTTTTTCGTTTTTTTTAGATGTAGTTACAGAGAGTAGTCACTGGATGTCGCTAAGCAAACACTCGATAAAAATACCAATTTGCAAAAAATATATTTTTTTCAGGTTTGTCAAATTTTAAGTGATCAATTTTTCTTGAAGAATATATTTAGAATGCCTGGTTTACGTATTTAAAGTTATAGTATTTGTTTATATAGCGTGCAGGATATTCTGCATAAGGCACACATATTGAAAATTGGTAAAAAATAAAATAATCCTGGAATAAGTTGCAAAAGAGTACTGTGAGACAATTTTCTCGGTCCACTTGATGTCCCTCGACTCTCCCTTTTCCCGCCTTTGTGAGCTTGTGTGTTTGTGCTGCGTGACAGAGACTGAGTGAGGTGAACCATGGCTAAAATTCCACAGATGAACACATTTAGACTGAGTCCTCACAGCCATTAGGAGAAGCGCGTACCATAATTGCAATGTAGGATGCTGTTTCCAAAGCTAGTTCAGTCCTTTCTAATGCTGTTTGAATTATGCATTCAAATTCGGATGAATGACAACTCATCTAATTACACACTTCCTTTTGCAGCTAATTCTAAGTTACCTGCTGTTTTTTTTTTTTTTTTATGTGAGAAAATAACCCATGTTACTTTACTTGGATGTATTAAAGCTACTCTATATGATTATTTCACAAGGGAAATATATATTCTCCCTGTGGAACTGGCCTTCATCGGCAAAGTAGTACTTTAAATTAGTTGCAAATTATGTCTTTGTAAGAGCTATATATAACTATATCTGTGTTTAATCACAGCGTTGCAGTACTACCAAAGGTAGGCATTCCGTCAGTACTAACTGAAGGTCCGTCACCGATTGACGGCGGTTTTGCTCTTGACTAACGGCGTGTCTTGTGTGTTTGTTAGCGGGGCTGAATACGATCAGGGTTGGTGATATTGACTACATATGGAAATGCTTTGCGCTTCGTGTACAGTAGGTGGTGGTATGCAACAAAGAGCTGTAATACACCAATGAACCGAAAAGAAGAAGAAGAAAAAGAAGACAAAGAAGAAGACGATGATAAGCATGAATAGACAGGAATAGGAGTGCAAGCGACTGACATTGGATTCTACCCTTGGCCACAATGCGCGTTAGAATTCTTGTCATCCGAAACGTTGTTGGCGTTTTAGGAGGTAAAACAGCAGCAGGCAGCCCGCAGCATGCCCCCGGTGCACTTAACAGTTCAATAGATTGGCCAATAAGTGTATGTGAAATGTATGGGAGTGTATGTGGGGCAGCACGGTGGTCGACTGGTGAGCACGTCGGCCTCATAGTGCAGAAGTGCGGGTTCGATTCCGGCTCCGGCCTTACTGTGTGGAGTTTGCATGTTCTCCCTGTGTCTGCGTGGGTTTTCCCTGGGTACTCTGGTTTCCTCCCACAAACATGCATGGCAGGTTAATAGAACACACTAAATTGTCCCTAGGTGTGATTCTGAGCGCGAATGGTTGTTCGTGTATGTGTGCCCTTCGATTGGCTGGCAACCTGCCCGAAGACAGCTGGGATAGGCTCCAGCATGCCAGCGACCCTTGTCAGTTGTGCATTACCGTTATAAAGTCAAATCAGGTCCCACCCGGGGAACAGAACACAAGAATAAAATGCACCAGATTTTGTATTCTTCACAAGCTTACCATAATAAAATGTAATGTAATTAGCTCTATTACGATATTTGTAAATTCACAAAAATTACATTTACAACCCCGAATATAGGCCCCCACTGCTCCAATTCCTCAGCCACTCTTTTCGACTTCAACGTTGGACTCCGGCATACTCTATCGCTTGTCTCCTCATCACTCTGTAGAGGGTCCAGCTGACATTTTGTCTGTCCGTTGCCCTGAGGGTGTCCAGGAGGCTGTCCAGGAGATGCAGACATTCTTGGCGGATTGCCACAGAGTAGCCGATCATTCCTGATGAGGGCCTCCTGGACAAGGAATCAGAAGACAACATTAAAAAAAAACGAGCCCGTCAGAAGCACCGCGCATATCATCCGTGTGTAAAAAGTAACTTTCAGGACTTTTGGAGGGACACACGCACAGCAAGCAGTACTGGCCTCAAAGCCCATTCTTACATTCTTTTTGCTTAATCTTGCATTGGCCTCTTAATTATTTTCCAGATCTGTTACTTGCCGCAAGCTGTGCCTACAGACATGAGACAAATTGATGATAGATGGACAAGAAGAATGCTGGATGCCAGGTCCTCACATCTGGATACAAACTTCTTCATCATGCTTTTCAATTCATTCTCAAAACCAGCCTTTTGTTTTTTTCACCTTGCTTGATGTTAAGAGATAATTTTGTGAGTGATAGCTTAGACAGCCTCTCTCCGTCTATCTCAAGTACATTTAATGATGGCATGACCGTGTGTGTGTGTGTGTGTGTGTGTGTGTGTGTGTGTGTGTGTGTGTGTGTGTGTGTGTGTGTGTGCGTGCGCGAGTGCACATACGTGATTATTTGTGAGTGTTTGAATAGATCCATGGTAAAATGGTGCAGCCCCCCCAGAGGCAAATTGTTACGGATGCTGTGGTGCTCAAATCACTGTCATTTGGTTCTTTTAAAACAAACTAATTACAGCAATTGTTGTGTGTGTGTGTGTGTGTGGGGGGGGGGGGTGCACTCATGTGCGCATCAATTAGTTACCCTTCCCTTGATTGTTTGTTGCCGCCAGTTTCTTTAGCATGCATTTGTTTACTGCTGCAGCTGTTGCATATCACTTTGGTTTCTAACACAATAACATCAATGCTTTGGACCCACTGAAAACAATCCATTAAAGCTTTGCAATCACAAAAATGATGTTTCCATAAGTGGCACAATTAATTGAAATCACCAACAAATTAAATGTAATCGACAATGATACACGTTTAACTTCAATGATCTACTGTCCACATATATGTATGGCAAAGTGTCATCTCACTGGCGCTCGATTTTGATAATTGAAAATTACCACTCATTCGTCTAAATTAATAAAAACTGTATATATATATATATATATATATATATATATATATATATAGATATATGCTTGATGTCAATGTACAGTACATGACAACAAAATTGGAACACTGAAGCTATATGCACAGGCAATTTGGGTCTTACCCTGAACTAGTGACCTGACGTAGGTTGTGACGTGGCATCGGACCACAGACTAATCTGTCAGGATAATATTTGGATCCATCATCATACAACTAGGCTATGGGTGAATTATGGTTGGAAGGGGGTAATCGGCCAAATTATCTGTATGTGTGTTTACCGGGCTTCAACAAATAGAGAACTCTTTGCCAGGCAGGTGTGTGCGTGTGTGTACGTATGCGTGTGGCGCACACAAACCTTTGTGCCAGCTCCTTCACGCCCTTGTGTGCCAGGTACGGCTCGTCTTTGTGTGCGCATGAAAGCGTGCCACATCTGAAGAAGGAAGAAAAATGCACATTCTCGCGGGGAGAAGAGGAGGCACGAGAGGAGAAGGAGAAAGGTGGCCTTAGCTTTCCTCTCATCATTCAGTCCAACACTTCTTCTCCTTTCGTTTGGTTCCATGCACTCGGCTTTCAGTTCTTTCCGTTTTGTGGCATTCCATGTGCCGCCACTCCTCTGCTGCCCTGCTTTCTTTGCGCTCCATCTTTTTTCTCTCTCAGCTGTCTTTTTCCCGTCCATCTCTTCTTCCTTCTCGTCCCAGTTTCCCAATGTTTGGATGGCTTGCTGCTCCGGTCACTGCTCAGGGAGGCTGACAAGCTAAAGGAGAACATCACAGACAAATGGGCTCCAATTTCAACGGAGACGTTTTTGCTACCTGCACATCTCCACATCCCAAAGCTTATCAGCGAACCCAGCCCAGGAAGCATTACTGAAACTGGTCCGACATCACACGCAAGCAAACACCAAGCGTCCAGAGATAAGCCTCTCTGCTCTCGTCTACGCTGGTTGCTCAGCACTGCGGAGTCAAGCACATAACACTGGCATTCAAACAGGCACAAGACAAACCTTCCACTATCATCCCAACTCTACACTACTGCTGTCTCCATGATCACAAATCAGTTATGAGTTATGTGAAGCTGATGGACACTTAGAATTGTCGTAAAGACTTTGGAGGAGAAGTACTGGAAGCATGAGCACTACTATTACCCCCTTCAGACAGTACTTTGCTCCATATTTTTGATGCTACTTGTACTCTATTCGCACAGCACTGCCATTCCCAATCAATAAGCTTGCAATTAATACCGGAGACAACATATAAAGTACATATACACAGACCTCACCTTGATTACGTCGATGCCGCAGTCATATTGAATGTGGCAAAGTGAAGCGATTTGGGAAGATGCCTCATTCAATTGCTCCTTGGAGTTTGATCATCAAACTGGAACTCTTTGGATTAATACTGAACCTTTTGCTTTTGATTGTACTGCATTGTCATTCTAACAATATTGTTTGATTAAAGATTTTGTGGCTAATACGATGGCCACATCCAATATAGCGGACGCGCTGACATATCCCTTGCAACAGACCAACAGTCTCAAGGGGATACCTGAAGTAGAAATAAGATAAAAAGGGAAAGAAAATCGATTGTCATTTTACACGTCAAAAGAGTTTGTGACTCCCATGGTTACTTTTGTGAAACAGGTTCAGACAGCTTTTATTTGCCGACCCCGATCTAATATGTCCCTCCTCACTTGCTAGACTGTGACTGCACTAGGGAAAGTCTTAATACATAATGTAGAAAAGCTCAACATCGAATGTACGGTATAAAAACTGCGATCAACTGTCACGATCAAAAGTCAGCAGTAAAGACAGTTTGCACTCATGGGGGACAATTTTAAGTCAGCAGTAAAGACAGTTTGCACTCATGGGGGAATTACACTCAACATAAGCAGCGGCACAGAAGTGAAGGGCAGAGAACAGGTGAAATGAGCAGACCATAGCACACTGTCCAATTTCTGTTGCATTTTCTGCTCCAAGCAGATGGACTTCAGACTGATACGTGCCAAACGTGAGGAACAATAAGTGTGAAAACACCACATGACCGGTTCTTGGGGAATAAAAAAAACTACTTAAATGCAATGTGCCTTGTAGACCAGACTCAGCTAGTGTGTGTACCTGCATTCACTGGAACGGTCCAACCAGAGTTCATATAGTGTGTGTGTCAGTGGTTTTATTGTTTGCTCTTGGTGTAAAGTGTCCTTGAGTGTTGTGAAAGGCGCTTGCAAATGAAATGTATTATTATTATGATTATATACGAAAATCACAATGATGAAATACAACCAATGCTGAAATGCACCTCGAAGGGTCTTACCCTCCTAACCCGAAGCCTCCAAGTCTGGATTTAAACTCAGAACCTTCTTGATGAGCCTTACACATGTGGAAAATGGTGTGTATATGTTGACCACTTTGTAGGCTCCTTCTCACTTGGCACAGGACTTATTACATAATCTTCACATTAAGCCATCACTTCCTTCCTCCTCCCTGCCATTCATCCTCAATGCTGCCTTCATCAGCGCACGCTGATTGAGTGTCACTCTGCAGGTGTGCTGACCTTTCACCTGAGGTGCTCGTTCTTCAACACTTCAAGAGGTAAGAGCGATTGATGTGAGATCTTTGAAGGTGCCTGTTTGTGTTTCTTCTGAGCTCCTGCAGTTAAGGAACCAAAGGTCCTCGGGGTATTAGAGCAGGAGATCAGGATATCGGCTCACGCACACACAGTGGCATCTCAGCGACCTCTTGGTGAGTTCAGTGGCAGGGCGTGGTGAGAGTGGTCGTTTGAACCTGAAGATTTTAAAGATCACACACATACACACACATGAACGGCATAAACGCACGCGCAAGCATAACCACTGCACATTGCACAACACACGATGTTGATGAGGCTTCTGCGTTTTGGCGGAAGGACGGCACAGGGAATCCAAACTGCTGGATAGAGAAATTCCTCACATGAGAAGGACAGATGTGGGAAAACTTCAGATGAAGGAGAAAAAAAGAAGTCTTTAATGTGAGTTGGTCTTGTAAGGTCAGATAGAGCAGGCAGAAGCTTGAAGTAGGGAGGAAAGGTTATAGGAAAGGTCAGCATGATTTATTTAATCATAGCACAATCACACACACACACACACACACACACACACACACACACACACACACACACACACACACACACACACACACACACACATCTCCATCAGGAGATGATCGAGGTGACAGAATGAGAATTGTGTTTCTATTTTTTGGACCTTATATGTACATGCAGCGGTTTTTGTGAATTTTTAAGTGTGTGTTTTGACCCAATTCCCCAATGGGTTAACAAACAAACCTCCACACTTGATGCTTTCCTGGAATGGGTAAAAAGGCCCCCAGTGGAAGAAAGAGAATAGCAGAGTGGTGCAGCGCATGCAAAGAAGCCTCATGAAAAATGAACGAAAGTACTTTAGGAAAGCGGATGTAATTAATGTTAGCGATGAAACAAAACTGTCATTCGCTCATCTTGCTTGCGTGGGGGATGGAAGACAGAGGTGGGATGATGATGAGCAGATGAAAGTAGCGCACACCTGCCTTTTGTGGCAGCGGATGCCCCGAGGCACAATGTCACAATGGTGTCTCAGTGACACTGCCAGCCTCATTGACCAAGCCCCCCCATACTTTCCAAACCGCACATCCCCCCCCACCACCGGCCCCTTGTTCACTGCGTCGCTTGCGGCCTTGCTAGTCCTTTGCAGGCCGTGACCTTGGTGGTCACACAGAAAAACGGCCATATGGGGGAGACCGAGCGAGAAAGCGAGGTTTAAGTAATCCCTCATTTGTCTCCATTTTCTTCACCTCCTTCCTCTCACTATTTCACATGCACCATATGCACTCTTGCACCCCCTCTTCCTTCCACCCCCTTGGCCGCGGCCGCGGCCAGTGCCCCCGCCACCTTACCCAGGGCAAGGGCTGCATATGTTAAGAAGGTGGGTAGAACAGAGTGGCGGCAGATGGCTGAGCCCTAAGGCTGCCGCGGCTGGTGGTGGTGCTGGTGCATGGTTAGGCGATGGGAGATCCCGGTTGTGTGTTTGTATGTCTGAATGCGAATGCCATTTGCTCATGATTAGACAGTAGGAAAGAGCCTTTACCTGTGCATTTAACCTTATTCAGTTGGAAATTCTTAAAAGTGTTCAGTAATGGTACATTACAGTCGCCAGTGATTGTCTACAACTAAGGAACAGATGGAGAAAAAGAAACCAGGGTTGCTCTCTCCCGTCCAATAAAATAATAATAATAATAATAATAATAATATTAGAAAAGCCATAGCTGGATCCACACCCAAGTACACATCAGGTATGTTATCACTATTTCTTTACAACAATGTAAAATAGTCAGTGTATAGCTTGCATAACAGCTTGCATTGCTTTCAAAAAATAAAAATGTTTTCATGGCTGATATTTGAGAACACGCAAGAATGATTAGACTAGACTAGGGGGAGAAGACTGATGTTTTCTTTTCTGAAATGAAATTGTTTTCAACAAAATGTCATTTTAATTAATTCAACCTTATGCCACTTATATCTAATCAGATTCAGAATCACAATCCTCTTTTTGGCCAGCGATGTTGAAAACTCACAAGGAATTTGTCTCTGGTCGAATATTTTTTTTTTTTACAACTGGCCCTAATCCTCTTTCGTAGATCAACGACAGTAAAGCAAATGGTGCAATTAAGCCACAACAATGAACATGGCAATAACATCCCAACAAAGATGTGCAAAATTGGGGGGAACAAAAATTCTACAATGTCACTATGGAATTTGAAGTCAACTGTTGAAGAAGTTAATGGCAAGAGCAAGGTAAGACGCTGTTGGAATGGCTGATGGCTTCAGTGTGCATCTATGTTATGAACACCTGAAATTTGAATACAGTCCATGACTAATGGTCCAGTCAAAGAGTTTATTTTAAAGCTAAATTTCCATATGTCCCACTTTAAATGCCAAGTTCATACAAGTTATTTTGTGAACATTATGTACACAGCATTAGTCTTCTTTTTTGCTGCTCCAATTCCCTCAGAAAATGAAATACTGGCAAGAGCAACTCATATCTCCCACTTTCAGGTCCGTAATGTGAAAACGGAACAGCACAGTGGAATAAAGTCTTGAACAGGTTTTGTAATGTGAGAAGATCTGAAACAGATCTTGAAGTGCACGTCTGCGCGCATACGCTGCTGTCCAAGGAGGAGACATTACATACATCTAGGGAGCAGACAAACGCGGCAGAGGTGTGACTTTTGTCCTTCATTTCACCCACATTCGTCCTCGTCTGACGATTGTGAAGATGCTTGGAGGTATTGCACAGCTGCTGCGCTCTGAAGCGCACACGCACCTTGCAGATATGGGCCGGCTGCCATGCTTTAGTCTGGATAATAGGCTGCTAAGGGCGCAGCTTGCTCGGCGGCCGCACGCACACGCACGCACACACACACACACACACACACACACACACACACACACACACACACACACACACACACACAAAACCACATGCGCGCAAACACACAAGCAGACACACAAACTCAAGAGACAAGTTTATCTCATCTAGTGAGCGTAGTTAAGTGGCAGCCTGTTTAGCATTGTTTAGCTCCACCTGTTGGATATTGTCGCTGCCGGGTGGATTCCCTGCATCCACAAAATCACTACTTTTAAGGGAAAAAAAAAGTCGTCTTGCTTGTGTTGCCAAACAACGCATCATGCTTGCTAGTATTATATTATATATATATATATTCTTATATTGATATCATATCCGGGTGGCCATCGCCACCAACACACCACCACCTCAAAAATCATGTTCAATCAGTAATTGAATTTACTAAAAATTGTTCATTTAATATGTTGTCATTGATTAAAACGGTGTGGACATGTTGCCACTGCCAGCTGTGTACATCTAAGTCTGTATTTGCCTCCCAACAACACAAAAGTCTATATTATATCACAAAAACAGCTATGAGTGACGCAATAGGGATAAAAACGAGCTGACTATAGTGTAATTGGCGGATATTAATCTACAGTATGTGCAAATTTACCTTTGTGCCTGATGCGCTTTTTTCTCAAACAAAGCAGTATACTAGTAATTGTGTACAAAATAAGCCTGCTGAAATGTATGAAACCTATTTTAACTTGATATTGTCGAAAAACACATTCAGACTTTCAATTCTGAGGCAACAGAATGCCACAAAGCTCCTGTGGAATGAGGAAGTGGTTATATGACCATTTTCGTGTCCAAAGGAGTTAATAGATTTGTTCTCAAGCAATTTTCCACATTTGAACTTGGTTCATAATGTGTAGTAATAATGAGCAGTGCAGGAAAAGATCAAAATCAAGTTGTGAAGGAATATGAAATTGACCACCTTTGGCCATACGAGGGTATTCCACCCAACTGCGGCGATATTTAGTTTGCATATCACAATTATCTCATCGATACAAGCACAAACACCCCACAGACTCCCAGAAGGTCATTGGCCTGAGGACATCTAGTTGAAGTGATGATCTTTGGCACCAAGCGGCTGGAGGCCGAGTTCCGGCGTCTCATTTACATGCTGCTACTCATGCACGCTTTCCTCTTCTAAAGTCATTGCTCTACATCTAGACTGCACAGACAGACGAACCCTCGGCATTGAAATGTGAATAACCACACACCAAAATCTAAAACCAGCAGGCAACATTCTTTTTTTTTTTTTTTTTTAGAGTTTAGAAACAACACATACTGGGTTCTCTCTCCAGTAGAAGCCCCTCTTTGACGTTCATCTACACGTCTCTTTGTGTGTTTGTGTTTTTAGTAGCGTAACCAGGCATACCTCCTGGTAATGGATATTAATGGTCCCGGGCAGTCCTCTATGGCGCAGTGGCTGAGAGTTGTCTGTTTGACCTCGTCTTCAAGCTGGGAGACCTGGAACCCAGGGGTGGTTGGCCCTGTAGGGATCTGTGTCACCATCAGCATGCATTACACTCAAGGTAAACGCACACTGTTAGGAGCCACGTCTTGTGGGCTTTGCACACTGTTCGTCAACCTGATCGTGGAGTGTGTCTTTTTTTTTTTTTTTCTAAATATGCTTCAACATCTTTTTTTGTATATTCGACCTCATTCTGCAATAGCTGCAAAAATATTTACAACTTTGATTCTGTTTTGCCACATGATATGTACTTTCTATGATGGCTTTTTATTCATTTTTAAGTAGGGGTCGACATTCACCTCCGAAAACAATGTGTGTCCTTCCATTTTTTCTCCTTCTGTCTCCAAGTAGGTGAATGTCAAAAAGCGGGGAGTAGGGTAAACAGAACTCCCAGGGGAGTTTTGGCCTTTGGGTTCACAGCCGGGGGACTGAAAAAACTAGAGGCAGGTGAGGCAACGAGCACAGGGAGGCAGAGTGGACGGAATAATAGCAAATTAAAAAAAAAAAGAAAACAATGGAAAATGGAAAAATGAAAGTCACAAATCATCTGTAAAGTTGACGATCCTCTCCCGACAATCCAACTGAAATGGAATTTCACCGAATGTATCATTTATCTTGTGTAAATATCTTTTTGGTGTTGCAAATTTCCACAGAAGTGTGCCTTGGGTGAACATAATAATCCGATTATTTTTGAAAATATATGAAAATTCACTTGCCTCCTATAGGGGCAGACCCACTGTCACACTCTTTGAGGAAGTGACTGTTTCTAAGCGTTGCCCACTAGCACAGAGCCAGTCCTGCCGTCTCGGCCTCCCGGCGTGGCAAGCAGGCACTGCTCGCCCTGGGCAAGTGCTTCGCTGTGGGAAGGAGCCTTGGCTTTAAGTGGTTCTAAGTGGCTCTCGCTGTTTGTCTCTTCGGCTGTTTATATTTTTTTTCTGCGCTCGTCACGGGCAGGGAGGGGCCTCTTAGCAAAGCGAGGCAGCGAGGGTGAACACAGCGAAGCCTGCAGCGCTGCGTTCACATTTACTGTACTTGTGTGTGCATGCCAGTCGTTTCATCATTAGAAATGTTATGCCAGGGTTTTATTATGTCAATTTCATGCGAGTGATTGTGCATGTGGTTTTGTATTGACACGGCCAAAAGGTCCAAGAGTGACCTTCTAAGATGACATTATTTACTATCGATCCACCACCGTTGTGCGTTTGAGCCTTGCTGGGACTTCAGTGCCGACAATGCTGCCATTGTTCCGCTTTTAAGGACGCTTGGTGGTCTCGACTTGACTCAGCGTTACTTCATGAAGTTGTGGCGAGCTGCACTTCCAAATGCGGCCTCTTAGGTGGACGTGAACGAGGATGTTCAAACGCAGAAATTGGCCGCACATGGCACTTAAAACACACACACACACACACACACACACACACACACACACACACACACACACATCTTCAGTGGCCTCACTGTCTCAAGTTAAGCAGCAAATGAACACAATTAGCCACGGCTCTGCAAACACACACTGGGGTATTGTTCTGCTCACACTCACTCAAACCCTAATCTGGTGCACCAGAGGGATCCTCTGTGTGTGTGTGTGTGTGTGTGTGTGTGTGTGTGTGTGTGCGTGTGCGTGTGTGTGTGTGTGTGTGCGCGTGTGAGAGTGTGTGTGTTTGTGTGGGGGCAGTCGAGGGGAAGTAGTTCAGAGCCCAGCTGACAGAAGGGGCTTCGAGGCCTTTTTCCCTCAGAGGTTTACACGACGATGATCAACTCCTCGCGCCTTAGTCCTTGCTGCGCTCGCATCAGTACACACGCAGACACACGTGCGCACACACAAATGCTCTCTCTCGCTCTGTCTCTTTGAGCAACGGCCCATTTAAAACAATCAGAGACGCACGCGCACACCCTTCGGTCAAAGCCAGATGTTCCTGAGTGAACAAAAGCATTAAGTGACAAGTTACTCTTCTCAACAGCAGGTTGAGCCTTGGGTCATGATTAACACGCGCACACACACACACACACACACACACACACACACACACACACACACACACACGTTCAGTGGCGTGCACTTCCACTGCCGTTCTCTCCAGCAAGCGCGTGTGTCTAATTGACGGCTGGTACATGATTTCTTGCAAGAACACCAACACAAGTGGCTGCCTAATGACTGCACTTTAAGAGGCCTCCCGGGCCTTTCTTGTGGCGGCGGTGGCTTCAGGCCCATCGCATCAGCAACCGGTGGAAAGACGAGCATGACAATGTGATGACACAGACATAAGTTGCTGTCATAAATACTCTAATGACGATTGTTGTTATCAGGTTAGTCAAAGAGGACAGACAGCCGAGAGGGTTGTGACTCCTTCTTCTAGTTCGACTCATTTCCCCGTCCTATGTGAGGCGAGTGTTTGAGTCGCTCTGTCGCCATGCCAACTGGACAATGTCTCTCTGTGACACGTTTCAGCATAAATGTGGAAACATGCAGACACACACGTGCATTCAAACCTCTACAGGTGAACTTAATGTGACCTTCTCGAAGCTTTTGAATGCACATCTACAACTGTCAAATGTTTCAGTACTTTTTGCACAAGTTGAGGAGCTTAACGGCAAAATTCACAACAGGCCTTAATTTAAGACCAAGACGACACCTAACGATGGATCACTAGTACCTTGCCATTGTTGTGCTTCAAACATGTGTATCACTGTATGTGTAAATAACCATGCAGACATTCGACACACTCTCAAGTCAGCCTTCATGCTATCTTCAAATGACATAAGCCAAGGAACTACATTGCAAGCTACCTTGAAGTATACGATTCCTTAAAAAAAAGAGAGATAAAACCTTTCTAAAACCAATACGAGCAAAAATCCTATTTACACTTATGATAACATAGTAGTTTGTTGACTTAATTTGCCACAGCGGTTTTGAAAAAATGTCATTCCCCACGATCCACTTTATAGATGAAAGCATGAATGAAAATCCCATGAAAAATTAATGAAACTACGAAGTTATTCCCCTTTTGAAAATCAAAAGATCCTTCACTTTTTTTGGAAGACTTTCTGCATCGATTTTGAAGAACATTTCAAACATCAGAGTTCGCCGCTGTTGGCTCACAGTCTTTATTCTTGCTCACTCCAAAGGTTTGCGGTTGAAGACAGTGTTCAATGCATTCAAGCAAGCATACTGGAACTGAAAAGAGCCTTGCCCACACTCCTTCTACAAATTTACAATCACATAATTGTGCGCAATGAAAAAGAAAAATCGGTGGTAACTTTGGGGTCTTATTCAACAATTTATTGAGTATTTCCATAATTGTCTTCCCTCCATGTAGCACGGAAAGAAACCATGCACAATGCACATTCCAGTTGAGATGAAAAGGTGGCATTCTGAGAGGACGACTGTTAGCGCTGCAGCATTCAGCCATCTCAAAGTGCACCAGATGTGCTCGCTTGTGCAATTATTCCAGCAAAAACAACACTAGCTCAGATGTTTTGTGTACGTGTTTGTGTGTTTGCGTACACAGCCTTGTTGGAGCAGTAAATGTCTTCCGTTTGAGCTGCTGGCTGACCTTCTAGCACTCTGGCCTTTTCCACTGTTCTCACCTTCACCAGCAAGGCAACTGTGGAATTGCATGTGTCAAGCTCTGCCACCTCCGCCATCTCGCAACGTGCCTCGATGGAAACCTTTGGCTAACGTTGCATGCGTTCCTTCTGGGCTTGCAATTCCTACAACAGTGGCTGCTTTGTTTGGACTCTCGATTTAACCAATCAATACCCAATACAAAAAAAGTTTGCGTTTAGGGCATTTCTAACAAAAATCACCAATTTCTGTTTTTTTTTTTTTTTTTTTAATATTGGTCTCCAAACTCAAAGGTTTGAGGACATTGAATTCACTATATTTTTTGGTTGGATTTTTTTTTTTTTTCAAGGCATAGAAATGGCGCAAAAAATACTGACTATTTCCATTTGTGACTTTAGTGACATTAGTGACAGGACCAAGAAATAAAACAGGAGATAAGAAAAGAGGAAAGCAAAACAAATAGATCAAATCAAAACAGCAAATGAAAAGCAAAAACAACCAAACACAAATTAGAAACACACACACACACACACACACACACACACACACACACACACACACACACGACAATTAAAGAGAGCTAAGTGGAAGGGACATGCAATAGATTTAAACATTTGTCTTCATCATATGTTGTTGCTGCTCGGTATATTCTTTGAGCACACACTGCAGTTGCAAAGGCTGACCAGTAAGTAGCAATCTGTAGCACACTAAACCCCATTCTGTAGATTTACATTTGTTGGGACTCTTGATTCATTTTATGTTTTTGATAATATAACAACCCTAAACATGTTGCTTTTTAACCCTCGCAGGGACAGCGGTTACTACAGTGGACAGTTCATTATGTGATCAGGTTACAGGGTGCATGAAAGCGTTAAACATTTTCATATGTTTTTAATATGTCAAAGGACGGTCACTATATTTTTAAAAGCAAGTTATCACTTCTCTATTTCAAAAAGGCATCTGTGTGTGTGTGCGTGTGTGTGTGTGTGTTTTGTGGGTCTTCTTTTGTTTAGGTCAGTAAGTATGTTAGGGTGTGTGTTGACCTGCTAATCTGTGTGCTTTATGGAGTGCTGTTCATACATCAGACTCGACTCTGATCCCAAACCCAAACACAATGTCCCCCTCCCACTTCCAACACACACAAACACACACATGCACAGGCAAGTATGCACGCACGGTGTCTTCGCTATACAGAGAAAAACACATGTGATTAAAATTTGGATGATGCAGCAACCAAAAACACAACTGCACATACTAAACAACATTCAGCTTTTATTTAAGTACAGCGCCTTTTTGTATCCCCCCCCCTCCCCCCCAAAGGTCAGTTGTACGGATCCTGCTCAGAATCCCACAATCCCAAACTCAAACACAGACTCTTTATCAGGAAACACACTCGCACTCCCACATAATCCTTGCATGGGTAACTACACCTGGGACTTTGTGTGCATTTGCATCCATGTGCTGCCGTCCTGCGATGGCCGCAGTTTATTTTTTTCAATTTGGAGAATAAAAAATTATTCTTTTTTGAGCAGAAGCAAGAGTTTGTGTATTGGAATGAAGACAGCACATTTTGCAGAAATGGAGAAATGGTTATAAGGTGGGTGTGCTTGTCTGCTTCTTAGAGCTGTCTTGGTACCCTTGAGCAAGGCATGGAGCCAGGGCTCCAGACTTGCATCTTGCCCCGAAAATTTGAGACAGTGTATAAATTTATGTTACAGTAAATGTTTCATCTAAAAAAAAAAAAAAGTAGGACATTCTGTTTTCATCATATATGGCTATGCTCACTCACCTGGTTGTTTTAAGGAGATGAATTCAATTAGCTGCAAATTCGATCCCTAAAACATGCAGGGAACACCAAAATTGCGGATAAGAATCACACTTTTTGCCTTTATCATTAATGTAGTGTAGATGACAGGAAATGCAAATATCTACTTTGCAAGTCAATTTTAAGCGCGTGCCCCAAATTTTAAGGGCCACTGTGCTTCCAGTAAAAAAAAAAAAAAAAAAAGTTGGTATCGAGACCTGCATGAGGGCACCCAAAGCTGAAGTTTACACGGCTCTTTGAGTTAAATCTATGACAAAAAAAAAAAAAACAAAAAAAAAAAAACGTTGGACTTCCATACAGACTGCCTCTGATGGGGAAGCAAGAGTTGTCATGCAGTAGCGCTGAATCCTTAAATGGGAGACACCGAGGTTTCCTTGTTGATGTCAATTACATCTTTAATTGGTGCATGTGTAATGTAAATACAGTCTGCTTTAACCACTGCTGCTCCACCGTAAAACAGATTTTCTCCCTCATTAGGCAGTCACTCCTTCAAGTGGCTCTGTCCCCATGGACCTGCCCTGGACAGGGCTGCGTGTGTGTGCATGCATGTGTGCGTCTGTGCATGATCGGAAAAAGAAAAAAAGGGGGCGTCTATGCATTCATATTTAACAACAAACATTTTACAAAATAGAGGAAAATGGCAACATTATGAAAAGTTGTGTCTTCTGCCAAAGCATTGAACACATGCAAAAATCACCCTTCTTCTTATGTCCTTTCATGCAACTTTTTCTCTTCAGTCAAACGCTGATTGCGCCTTTAGCTACAGTCATTGTTCAGGATGTTATTTACGTCTCTCATCATCTGTGGGGTGGGGGGCTGTTTGAATGTGGCGGCGATGAAAAGAACAAGTCCAGATTGAATGAGCAATGTCAGAGTTTGTTTTTTTTTTCTTTCAAGAGGTGTGACTTTAATGTGAACACGAGTGTGCTGCGTGCACAGTCCCGCTGCTGTTCCCGGGGTGCAAATGTCTCTGGGTTCCAAATAATACAGGCCAGATAAAATTGTGGACTATTGGTGGCCTTTGCAGATCAAGATGAGCAAGAAAGCGGAGTCTGGAAAGAAAAAAAAAATTAGAAATAGAGGAAAACAGAGGAAAAGACAACATATGTTGTACACCTGAGTCCTGCGAAAAATGGGGTGGGGTTGGGGCAGTGTAAGGGGTGTTAAGTGGGGGATGATGGGAGAGAATCACTTCCACTACACGCTCATTACCACCTATTCATCTGGAAGACATCTCTGAGCAGATCCGCGGCAGGCTAACTTACTGTATTTGTTTGCATGTGAGGGTACACTAACGTGCATCTAGGTGAGCATGCCGCACTACCCCCAACTACACACATAATAAGATTAGTGACTTCGTATTGAAGCATATTTACATCCCTTTCCTTTCACTTTCCCCCCACGTGACTTCCATCCTGCTGCCTCACTCCCACTTTGAAGGCTGCAATTATCTCCTTTATTAACATGAAAAACACAAGCACTCACGTCTTCTTGGGATAATGGAAGATGCCGGGCGCTACAATATTCTCCTGTATTGTCCCTCATGTGGCCATGTGAGGCTTTTTAATGTCGACACTGAACATACACAGGCAAAGCAATGAATGGTCAAGGACAGCCGAGGGAGCTCATACATACAGCACACATTGCATCTTCATGAATCATGCTGGGTTTTATTTCAACTCCAAAATTCAAACTCCAGAAGTCCAAATCGGCACAGTGACAGACAGTGAAAGAAAGCTACGGCATTCGCTCAAATCATGAGATACGTATGCATTAAACTCCAAAACAAGAGCATCTGTGTTTGTTGATATTTATTTATACGTTTGCAGTTTTACTTCTTGGTATTGTTTAATCTACCCAAATGCACATACAGCGGCCACAATCGGAAAACAAACTGTTCCAACTAGTGCATAGCTCTGTGAAGTTCAATAAACCATCAATAAACAATAGCTTACAGTTTTTTTCTTCTGAATGCTAAAACTCTCACAGTGAAATGCTGCACAATTTCTCAAACGATTAATATCTATCGCAAAACCACTCGCAGAAAAAAAGCACAAACACTGCTTTATACTGTGTTTGGAATTTTCTAAAACACAACTCGCGAAACGCTCAATTTCAAAGTGATCGACACACGATTGCAAAACAGCACACATCTGCGGCTATCATTTACACGATTCTGTCAACAGTCTGGCCACACTGCCACAGGAGAAAACTGTTTTAGATCATTTGTTCACTTTGCAATCAGACTCAGCGCTGTAAATAAGCCGCAGCTAAACTGCCGGGGGTGTGGCGTACAATCGAGGGAGCAGGAAGAGTGAGAATAGCGGGAATTAGAGGAAGCCGAGAAAGAAGACGTGGAGGTGAAGAAGCAAAAAGGAGAGGACAAGGAGGACAAGAAGGTGAAGGAGGAAGGAAAGTAACAAATAGAATTACTGACGACATCAGCGCTACAATGGTGGACCATGTAATTAGGTGTGGAATGACTCGGGAAAAGGGCGGCCTGGTGGTCCAGTGGTTAGTGTGTTGACCTCACAGTGCAGAGGTACTGGGTTCCCTGTGTGGAGTTTGCATGTTCTCCCCGGGCCTGCGTGGGTTTTCTCGGGGTACTCTGGTTTCCTCCCACATTCCAAAAACATGCATGGCAGGCTGATTGAACACTCTAAATTGTCCCTAGGTGTGATTGTAAGTGTGAATGTTTATTTGTCTATGTATGCCCTGCGTTGTACTGGCAACCGGTTCAGGGTGACTATTTTACAACTGTTGAGACATTCAACCTGCGAGGTCCTGGATATGCATACCCTTTTTCTTAAAAGTTCATCAAAAGTGTCGCATGGTGCTCAACTTGCTGCGAGTGCTTCACATCCAAAGAGGAGCACCTCCAACATCATCATCATCTTCGGCACAGAAAACCTGAGCAAGTCCAACCGAGCTTTTTTTTTTTACACAATTGCTATAACCTCTCGCTGCTTAGAAAATAAGCAAGAAAGTACATTTTCTCTCATTATCTTCTTCAAAGTATCAAATCAAGGTCTTCTCCAAGTGTGCATAAACAAATCAAAATCTGTGTTTTTATACGTGAGCTTCACGGCCACAAGGATGATGACACGAGTTACGCTTTAATTGTTAATTTCACACATCTGCACAAATGCACGCATGAACCATGCAACAATTAGATGAACAAACAAACAAGGCGTATGAGAATTACAGCGCACAACAACATGAATAACAACATTTGCCATCACAGGAAGCAACAGCAACATCAATCAGAGTTTCGTTGCATTTACTAAATCTGTCTTCAGGCACTCTTTCCCACCGTTTATGTGTTTGGGCATTGACATTTTTACGTGTGCATCAGCACCCATATGCTTGTGTGAATCGAGCAGCTGGCAGCCT